TTTATTTTTTTGCAATGAGACAACACCCAAGAGATGGAGGGAAAGTAGAAGAGGGGAGGGATGGAGAAGTAAAAAGAATTAAGGTGTGTTCCGTACACACGTCAGCTCCACAGTAAAAGAATCATTATGTGCTGAAAAGCCACACTGAGAAAAACAAAACAATGAAGGAAATACATGAAGCTCATACGGGCTGTTCCTGCCGTTGGCCATGAAACCATCGAAGCTGTCTGTGGCTGCTTTTTTCCTGTATTTCCCCTGCCTTTAGCCAGATACTCAGGTAACTGATTTCTGAACCGAATCTTTATTCCTGAAGGATCCAAGTTGTTGATTGTTATACTTTATATGTTGTTTTTACTGTCATTCTGTTCACATTTCTTTGAGGCATGAAGTACTATATAGTACCTCAGAAAATCCCTTGGACCCAAGTGTTATGTAGCAACAACACAGTATCCTTTTGGTAATTGAGATGAATCATTTTAGCCAAAAAAGTAATGCTTTATTCTGCCTTTTTATTCCCAAATGGCCAGGTGGCGACTCATATCTCACCACTGGTTTACCCCTGGTAGAACCCCTTAGGGTCCATCTTAAGAACTCACACTCGCGAATCAGTAGTGCTCAGAGGTGCTGGGAGAGGGAGCAAGTGGAATACTGAATATATTACCAGGAGCAGGCATCCTCAGTTCCACCTCTTGATTCCGGTTAAGGGGCAGGGATCACCATATCATGGTTTCTCATTCAAAGAATGCAGTGCATCCAACAATACAAGTCCCAAGAAGCATGGAGCCTCCACCCTTCCCACCCCCATAGCACAGAAATTTGCCTTCTTTCACCTTAGAGGAAATATCTCAACACGTTCCACGTTAGTGAACCGCCAGTAACTGTACTGACATTGTGGGCCCCTGAATTTTTGTGGTATCTAACATATTTCCTACTTCCTTGTCATAGCCAGTCAGCGTATGTTCTTCAGGATGCTCCACGGACTGTTAGCATGGCAGATGGTGGAAGAATTGAGATAACCCTTCGGTAAGACTACACGAGTGTGCTGTTGGTCCTGCCATGCAGAGACAAAGTGGTTCTTGTAAATTGATATGGAGAAAAAGACATGAGCCAGGTCAAAAACGGAACACCAAAAGCAATGTTGATTGATTCAATGAAGATAGTTGGACAGCAGCTGCATGGTGGTTACCACTTGATTGTATTTACAATGAACTTCAATTATTTTCCAAGATCCAGATGACTTCTGTATAGGTCGTGGGGGAATTAAATCAGAATATGAAAGGTACCATCATCTGATTCTTTCAAGCCCCTGTGGCATTTATCTCTAATTTTTCCATGCATGTTGCATGGTTAGTGTTATCATTTTAGTAGGGAGAGAAAAATTTCAGAGTTTCTATTTAGCCTTTTCTACTAATGACCCACTATCAGATGTAGCGTTCTGTTAGTTGCTAAATATGTATAACCCAATTATATCATCAGGAACTGGAGAAACAACTGCGGAGGGCATCTATGGACCAACTGGGAAAACAGAGTCAAACTTAAGCTGAAAGAGGCTGGGGATTTAGCTCAGCGGCATAAGCGTCTGGCTTGCAAGCAGGCAGTCATGAGTTTGATCCCTGGTACCGATAAAAAGGAAAAAGAGAAAAAAAAAAAAAAAAAAAAACAAAAAAAAACTTACACTGAAAGTCCATCTCTCACCTGAACACCATAGCCCCTCTCTTACTAATGGAACACACTGGTGTTTTAGGTTCCAGGAATTAGTTTCAGGGAGCCAGTGTCTAGGAACTCCTAAAAGGACTGGGTGTTTATTTATCCAATATGCAACCATTCTATTAAACAGCTGTATTTACTTCAGTAAAGGCTTGGAGGGAAATGGACACTATATTCTTGTGTCAGCAGAGCAAGGTCCTTTCTCAAGCAAATCAGGAACTGTCTTTAATCAAGAGGTTTGGGCCTCTGGCATGACTGAGGTCTGGAAACTCAGTGACAGATCATACCAGATCTGTAGTTAGGTTAGATCTTTTGCTAGTAGACCTAGAGGGCTTTTCCTCCTGTTACAGGGACCAAACAATTCCCTAGTAGGCTGCCCATCTACTTCATTTCTTAAAAACCATCTAAAAATCATTACAGGTCAAAATATTCTGATTATTTTGTTCCTGTTGCTCTAGGAGGGTTGAGGTGCTTGCTTTTGCTAATTAAGAACAGACATTTGGCCTCATTATCCAAAATAAGGGAGTCCAACTCAATGGCGGCATCCCACATGGTCATACCTCACCTATAAAAAACCAAACACAGAAAGCTCCTCAGGGATGTAACCCTCCTTGTCTAAAGTTTTTCTCATTGCCTTTAAGGAGGTGTTGTCCTAAAGTACAGACATTTGGACGTAGTTCTGTGTTTAGTGGCAATGGGACAGAAAGAGAGGCAATGAATTATGGTGGGTCTTGTGGACAACGAGCCACTCTTTTCACATTACCCGCCACAGGTGAAGGTTTCAAGCAAAGCATTACTGGTGTCCTCAGACACAGGAAGGCAAGCTTCTTCCATTGCTAAGCAAGGCCCAGTGTGACTTGGGTATCTAAGACTGTCCATGTCCAAGAAAAATCCCTGTTTCAAAAGCTGAATCTTCTTGCTTCCCAATTAATTAACTTCCACGTGAGAAAATCAGCAAGGCCACAAACTGAGTGGGCACTGGAAATGAGCTCCCAGGGAGGGGTCAAACACTGCTAGCCACTGTGTGCTCGAGAACTCAGCTGAAAGAAACACAATGGAATTAGGAGCAAGAGCCCCATCCTCCTCTAATGCCCCTCCAAAATCCTCTTCTGATCAAGAGTAGTCCACTAGCCCAAATGGCAATGGAAAGTTATTTCAGTACTCTGAGCCAGGCAATGAAGGGAGAGTTTGGAGTTGAGAATCAGAGGGTTAACTGGGAGCAAACCTCACCTTCATTCCCTGTTCCAAGGTCTCTACCACCTGCTCCTCACAGATGCTGCAGATGAGTAAACCAAGATCCAAATAAGGATGCCAAGACCAGGAATAAGACCATCCGAATACTACACACTAGCATGCGTGTAGGATAACCAACCATCTCAGTTTTCTATGGACTGTCCTGGTTTTGGCACGTACAGTCCTGTGTTCTGGAAAATCATTGAATGCCACATGAACTGGATTGATTTCTCACCCTATTGTTGCCCTCAAGATTTCCAGCATTTCTACACATCAGAGTTGCCTTGGGTTCTGCTAAACATGCAAGTGATTCTTTTTTTCCCCCCAGCGATTTCAGTAGCAAACAGGCCATGGATTTTTTTTTTTTTCTTTTAAAGAAATGTACTTGGAGGTCTGACAGGTGTTAATCACTGCTTTCAGGGACTCCTCAATCCAGACTTCCTTGTTCTTGTTCCAAAACTATAATCATTGAAAGGAAAGAAATCACATCCTTTGGGAGATATAGTCAAGGTTCCTGAGCCAGGAGACATTGACAAATTACAAGTTGATGGGAAAAAAAGTAAAAATTACACTCACAACTTGCTCTCCTTTCAGTTCTAGGATAAATCATTTTTTCCTTTCAATGTCACAAATTGTAATAAAGAATAATGGATGCTGTGAAAATTACACTTGACAGTGACAACAATATGGAACATTGATGAGTTATGCTGAGCTACCCGCAGGCAAGCAACATCCAGTATGACATATTTTAAAGGTTTCCACAGTGACCATGTTTTTGTACCTCTCAGAAGACAACTTGAACAAAGTACTAAGTCAGTGGTAGAGTTACTATTTTTAAACAATAAGGTCCAAGCTTTATCAAGAATACTTTCAAAATATTTCTTAGGACCTCAGATGGAATGAGGAAACTCTGGGTTCATTGAATTTCTGTTCTGATCAGGGACTTGTGATTATTTGGGGGTTTTTGCTTTGTTTGGTTTCTTTTGGACAGGGTCTGGCAGGGATTTATTTACTATAGGCCACATCTAGTTAAAATTCTAAAATACAGTACACCTTTTAAAATCCTACCCAAAAGCCCTAATCCCTGTAACATATGTAAAATGCGGAGGGAAGAGGGGAACCAGCAGAGATCACCAGGCTCCTGTAAAGGCAACTAGGCATGGACTTTACCATGCCTGGATTCGGGTAGAGAGCGGGATCAGTCCGTCTGCCCTGAACAAAGACAAGTGCGTCCTTCTGTGGAGATGGAGAGAAGGCGGAGGACATTAGGCAGGAAGAGCCCAGTGAACATCTGTGATTAAAGTTTTCTGGCAATCTTGCATCCCAGTAGGCAGTCTTTTAAAGTGTTCCATATAAATTTTTGGGTGTTCCCTGAACCTGCGAAATTCCTCGTCCTATCTTATCTCCTTTCCTGTGCTCATCCACGACCACACAGTTGAGTTCCCTGCAGACAGTGGTGCCTCTGCTGGCAAGCAGGTTGGGGGCTGGGAGAGTCCCGTCTGTTTGGAAACTTGCATTCTAAAAAGAAGTGGAGTACTTGCCCTAGAGTATACACTTAGGAGAAAGTAGCATCTGAAATTTGAATCTGTTTACTCAAGCAAAATTGGTTCAGCACAGGGAAGTAGAGACGAGTAAGGTGTGATCCAAGGCCCGTGGTAAATGCTGTGATCGAGGTATTGCCCATACTGCAATTGGAACACAAAGGAGGCGCATCCTGGGCTCTCCTTGGTTTCCAGACTTAAATGCAAATTTTTTTGCTTAAACACCATAACCTAGACCTCCAAACTCCTTCACCCTTCCACCAGCTTTACTGGGACGAGATCGTTCTTTCCCGCAATAGACCAAAGATGCTGGGGCTTGGTTGTCTCCAGTTTCAGGCAGTTTCATTCTCCTCCTAGCGGACTCATCTCCAACTCCACCTACCCCACTTCACAGGCAATCAGTGAGTCAGGTCTAACTGTTCTCCCAGCAAATCGGCCCCTGAGATGCCGGGAACGCGCAGCTGCCCGGATCCCTGGCCGAACACCGGAAGTAGAGGGGGTATGTGTGACGTCAGAGGAAGTGCATATCCCCAAGGCCTGCGATTGGCTGTTGGTGGAGCCCGTCCTCACTTTTTTGCGTTCCCCGGACCACAGGCCGTGGAAAAGGGTCAGGAGCGGAGGGGCAGATTCAAGGGCGAGCGGATTCAAACCTGCCTCTCCGCTCCGTCAGCAGGTGTGCCCTCTCTTAATTTTACCTCTGGGTACCCGAGGGTGGGGATATGAGGACGGCGCTAAGGTCTGTCCCTTTGGACTCTCATCTCGGGTCTCCCGGAGGAAAAAGGTTTGAATGAAAGATGCGAGCCTCTACCAAGGACCAGTTTCTTTCACCGGCGAGGCTCGCTTACTCTGCGCCTTATCTATGAGGGAAGTATTGGTGTCTGTTTATTGAGGAAGAAGCGGGGACTCAGGTGAAGTCATCTACCACAGGGTTGTGCAGCTGGGCAGTGACAGATCCAGAGTTCCTGATCTTTGCACTGAAATAGGGTCCTCAGGCTTTTTGCATGAAGAATCCTGGGGTGGAGGATGGCGTTGGCTAAGAGATTCTTAGGCCCCACAAATTAATGAAACTTGAGGCTTCGCAGATTGATTTGAAAGGAAAATTAGCATTATAAATAAAACCCTGCCTAGGATGCGCACCAAGACCAGGTGGACATGTCGTGTCTGGACAACCTAATGACAGAACATTCCTTTCTTTGTGTAACCCAGTTTTGTTTAACCAATGGCCTTGCAATTTATAGATTGAGATGTTTAAACTCCCTTGTAAACCCTTGATGTTGCCCACTTCTCCAGACATGATGTGCTAAGTCTGGCTTTTGCACCTCCTACTTGCCCTCCCTGTAAAAGCACCAAAATGCCACCAGGTCAGGCTCTGATTCTTTGGTAGAGATCTCCATCTGGCCCACTGGTGTAATAAACTTCCTCCTAAACCTCCTTGGTGCCATTTCTTCCGTATTTGGTCCATTTTGTCCTAAGACTGGGATTTGGCCCTGAAATCTGTGTTTTCAACAGCTGCTTCTGACAACTAATGTGTTGGTCCCATGAGAACAAAGCAAGAAAATGAGTGTGGCATAGTCCCCTGGGGGGCCAATAGCAAGCTGTCAGGTTAAGCTTTTAAGGCCCCAGGTCACATGTCAAAATGGGGTCTTCATGCATCTTGTGGAACTGAAGAGTTATTTTTGATCGTGTCATTAACTCATTTGGGCGGATCGTAGCCTCAGTCATCTCCCTACCTATGCTAAGCATGTGATTTTGTTTTTGCTAGGACTAGGGAAACATGTTAAACATATAGATTCTTTTTTTTTTTAGTATCTTTTTTTTTGGGTCTTTTTCCTTTTTATCTGTACCGGGAATCGAACTCAGGACTGCCTGCTTGCAAGGCAGGCGCTTATGCCGCTGAGCTAAATCCCCAGCCCCAACATATAGATTCTTGGACCCAGTTTAGCTCTCTTGAATCAGAGGTCCAGGGGAAAGGGGCCTGGGAATCAATAAACATGGTATAAAGTAAGCTTGTGTCTTTAAGAACTTGAGATGTGAAGCTTTCCTAGACCCATGAAGAAGTGGATCATAAATTCAGGTTATGGGGCCTGACTTCTTTTCATTGTGTGGCTGAGGAGGCTTCTGTATTTAGCATGGGCTAAATATTCTTGGCAAAATTACCAACAGTATTACTGGCATTATAGGATAGAATTTCCAATTAGCCAAAGACTGAAATTTAGTAAAATTTGAATATGAATTGATACAAATTGATTTTCTGAGTGACATGTGATCCTCATACATATTTTACCTTTCCTATCATTAAAACAAACACTTTCTAATTTAAATTTAAAATTTTCATTCATTAAACTTTAAATTTTTCTGATTTTACTTTGTCAAGTAACAATTGTGTATATTTATAGGGTATAGTGTGATGTCTTGATATATGTTTATGTTATAGATCAGTTAAGTCAAACTAATAAACCTATCATCGATTTTACTTAATTTGTGTTGAAAAACACTGATTGATTGATTGATTTTTTGGTACCACGAATCAAACTGAGGACTTCATGTTTGCCAGGCAAGTGCTGTACCACTAAGCTATATCCCCGGCCCAACATTTGAAGTCTACTCTTAGCAATTTTGAAATATACAGTGCATTGATAGTATAGTCATTTTTTTTTTTTTTTGTCTTTTTCGTTTTTATCAGTACCAGGGATCGAACTCACGACGGCCTGCTTGCAAGGCAGGTGCTTGTGCCGCTGAGCTAAATCCCCAGCCCCTATAGTCATCATTTTGTGCAGTCGATTACCAACACTTACTTCCCTTGTCTAATTGAAATGTTGTACTCTTCCATTGATACCTTCCTTTTTCCTTCCACCCCTTTTCCCTGGCCACTAGTAATCATTCTATTCTTTACTTCTAGGAGTTTGACTTTTTTAGATTCTGTACATAAATGAGATCATGCTGTCTTTGTCTTTCTGTGCCTGTCTTAACTTCATACGGCATGAAGTCCTCCAGATTCTTGGGTACTTTTAACAGCTTCCAGGAAGGTTTGATGTAGCCAGTGATAATGGAATGTGGAAATTCACTTGACAACTGAATTTTAGTCTCTTTCTTAGTGTCTGGGAGATGATATGAGTATTACAGCTTCCTTGTTTCCTCCTCTTGGAGACTAATAAGAATTAATGTAGTTAATGTAGATTCTGCTGTTAGAAGCATACACTTTTCTGTGAACCAAGTAAAAGTGCCGTGTTAAGCTCACAGAAGATAAACGGGGAGTCCCAAGTGAATTAGGCTCCTTGATTGAAATGTGATGACAGAAATTGATTTCGTATAGAAGCACTGATTGCTATTGACCCTTCTCTTCAGCCCAAAAGGACTGTGATTACCCCTTAACAGGCCAGGCTCAAGATCCTCACTAAAAGTGTTTTTTCCCCTTCTTGCACAGATACCATTGTGTGATTTGAATCAGGAATGAGATCTCCTGGGAGCTCAGGGCAGCAGTTTTTCTGGTCAACATGGCAGACAAAAGACGGCAGGTGCGAGTGCAGGGAGCCTGGGCAGCCCCTGCAAAGAAACAGCCTTCTGCTCAGCCAGGCAAGAGCTTGTGGGGATTCTGTGTGTTCATGGATGTGGGCAACCCTTCTGTTCGCTTATTTATATCCTTTGGTTTACAGTGAACTCTTATTCCAGTTGCTATTAGGGAATTGTTTAAAATGCGTCTGACTTGTTTGATGATGAGCTTAAAGGGTGGGTCTTTCATGTTCCATATATTGAGTCAGTGCCCTCAAAGCTTTCAGTGTGCTGAAATCCTCTCTTGACTTCCCTGATTAATATTAGATGCGATAGAGGTCATCTCTGAGGGTTTCACTGGCCCTTGCTCTGTAAAACATACTGAGAGCATACTTGTCCCTATCTTGCGGCTGTTCTTGCTTTTAGCTGCCGCTGCTGGGAGCTGTCTCCACCAGACACCTGGTCAGACCTGGAGGAACAAGGAGCATCATCCTTCTGACAGAGAGTTTGTGTTCAAAGAACCCCAGCAGGTAAATTCTTGCTTTTTCTTCAACAGTAACAAAGATTGGCTTGTAAAAGCTGTCTCTGTGTAGCAGGTACACAAATAGTGCCTCAGTAAAGTTACTAATGAATAGCAGAGCAAAAAGATTATAGAGAAGTATGAAATATTTCAGTTTCCTCGTTATGTTTGAAGATTCTTCACATTATGCCCCAAGCTGTTGGTCATACATTAGTCTCGGGCAGCAGGGAAACTTTACCATGAGTAGAGACAAGGTTACACCATAACTAGGGCCTCCACGTGCAATCAGAGTTCTTACAGTTCCAAAACCATGCTGTCTTTAGTGCTGTTATAGCAAATGTCTTTGTAATTGAATTGAAATTTCAGCGCCAGCAACATGCCTGATTTTTAAACTCTTTTTTCCATAGCGGAGAAAATATAAAAAACAAAATGTGTACTTTTTGGGGTAGTGCTGGGGATGAATCAAGGCCGTATGCACTCTATTGCTGGGCTATGTCCCCAGTCTGTACTTTTTAACAATATGGAAAGCAAAGAGTGGAAACAGTCAGGCATTTTGCTATAATAATGACTACATAAATAATTCTCACAAGTCTTATGTCTTCAGTTTTTTTTTAAAAAAATCTTCTTTATGTAAAGAATCCTTTTCCAGAGCTTCTGGCCAATATACTTGATTAATTCTAATTTCCTGTCTGCAAGTGTGGGGTATTATTGTTTTAAGACGAACAGAAAGAATGGTAGTGAAAGACTGAATTAAAAAAGAGTTGACCCAAAATGAGAGAATTTACAGTGAATTAGTCTCCCCGCTGGTTGAGTCTCATTCCGAATTCAAATCTGCCTGTTCCCTTGCAGGTAGTACGCCGAGTCCCAGAACCACGAGTGATTGAGTAAGTAAGCTGAACTCCTGCAACTGTTGCCTGTGAGCTTTCCGTTACCCTAATTCTTCATGTAGGAGAGAATGGCCCAAGAAGTGTCTTCATTTTCAGCTGGGATTTTTCCAAGCTCTGCTTTAAACTTGAGCTTCTGAGAATGTTTTCTGAATTTGCTGATCATACAGAAAGACGAAACAAGATCTCTGTGTATTAAATTTTGACTTGGGAGCCAGTGACATAACTTGTCATCAGTGCCTGCCTGGCAGGCTCGAGGTTCTGAGTTCAATTCCTGGTATCAAAAAAGAAAAATTGACTTGGGTGTAGATTTCCGGGCCCTCCTTCATTGACTCCTGTAGACAGTAAAGCAAAAACATTCCTTCATTAGAGACAGAGTCATTGGGACTTGGATCTTTGTGACACCTTTATACATTTCTCACCAGCAGTGTTTACTACAGCTGCCGGCAACCTAGATAACCATACAGCTGATTTCTTCAAATGATATGACTGCTCCAGAGCAATTTAAATGATGCTAAATAATCCTCTTACATTGATCTGTAGCTAAAATGTTCTTATCCAAAATTTGTGAGAGATATTTTATTACTTTAAAATTTCCTACTCCTAAAAAAACTCTCCCACTCTTCAGTTTCTATCTGACATCGATAAATTATCTTTAACAACTGTCCTTTTATTTTTAGGAAGTTAGATGTGAGGCTGGGCACGGTGGCGCACTCCTGTAATCCCAGCACTTGGGAGGCAGGAGAATCATTCTAAGTTCAAGGCCAGCCTGGGCTACAAAGTGAGCCCAAGGGCACCTGAACTGCACAGTGAGACCCCGTCTCAAAAGGAAAAAGAAAAGAAAAACAGATGTATAGTTTTTCCCATGAGCAATCTGTTATACTGTTTGACTTTTTTGGAGGTTGGCTTATAGATTAGAAGAATTTGAAACTAACACAAGTATATTTTCCAAAGGAGGTGTAGTTTTGGCTTTGCCACTAGTTAGCTATATGGCTAGTCCTTTGGAAAGTTCTTTCTGTTTCTGTGAATTCCATGATTCTTGTCTTTAAAGTAAGGATCTAAATTTTATGATCACTTCAAGTCCAGGCTAGTTGTAGTAATCTTTAATTATTTAAAAAATACCACTGTGGCAATGCCTGCATTAGTAATAAAGAGAAAAGACAAAACTATAAAACCCCTTACAGAGTGGGAAATTATTCAGAGTGGGAAAGAAAGGGCAATTTGGAGTTTCTAAATTGAAAAAATGAAAAAATCCATTGCTTTTTACCCTAAAATTTGTTAATTCTGATTATCTAAACTTAACTGTGTTAGATTTTTTAGTACACAGAAATGTGTTCCATAGTGAGCTATTTTCTAAAACTTTTGTAACTGTGAGCTGAAATATACTATATTAAATGTACTGTATTAAAATATTGTATTCATTCTCTGGGAACTGTACAGAGAATCATATAGAAATTGATACATACAGTGTGTATGATAACTTGTGCATGTGCATTTGGCCTAAAGGGCCTCACGCGTCTGCCTAAGAGCCCAGTGGAAAAGGGTCAGTCAGACACAGTTGTCTGGATGGATGTCCGTGTCTGCTCTGTGTTGATTCTCTCATCATGGACCTCATGCACTGCTCATGCTTTTTCACACTGATGAAACAATAAGATTTACTTTTCCACCTGCTGTGTGTAGGCACTGGGAGACAGACCCATCTCTTGCCCCTAGGGGCCTGCAGTCTAGTAGATGACACACACGTGTGGACAAAGTTTCGTATACCATAAACGTAGCAGACCTGTACTCCTAGCCGCACAGGATGAGTTTGGTATCTTACTTGCATGGTTCAAAGATCAGCAAGGATTAGAGCTGGCACTGGGCTGGGTGGGGATGCCGAGTGTGGGAGCGCTCCAGCGGGTGGGGTTGTAGGGCGAAGATCCCAAGCGCTTGATTTTTAGGCAGCAGGATGGGTCTGTGGGCGCCGCCATCAGGAGGGGGAGCTAGGTCGCCAGGACCTTGACCGCAGCTGTGTGGAGCCATGAAAAGGTCTGACTCAGGGGGTGCTCGCCAGCCTCAAGTCTCTGAAAGCAGCGGAAGCCTGGAGCCCAGCTGGGCTTGCTGCCCTGCAGCATCCTCCACTCCACACTACCAGAGAGGAGGCGCCCTGTCGTCTCCATGTATACCTGCTGTGCCATGGGTTCCCGGCTCACATCGGCCTAAAGTACAGGCAGGGTATAAAGGGGTAAACCAGGGCTTACCGTATCCCATTTCCTCTCCATGCCCTGACCCCCCCGGGGCTCTGTTCCCAGCGACCCCCTAGTGACACACCCCATCACGTGACCTGCAGCACTAGGTGGCAGCGGTGGTGCCTCTCCCTCACCGGCTCTTACACATTAAGTGACCTTAGTGAGCCAGGGTGTGGGAATCCAGGGTGAGCTCTCCGCGGCCTGGACGGTGTCGTTTTGCCTCATCCTGACAATCTGTCTGCTCTGTTTCTTCAGCAGCGAGGGTGTGTATGAAATCAGCCTGGCACCCACGGGCGTCTCCAGGTGAGTGACTCCTCAGCAGAAGGTGACCGCCTGTCACCAAGCGAGGCTGCTCTCTTACTTGAAATAGGAAACTTCTTCCCTTCAAGTACTTACGGAATAAGGATCTGCTCCTGTCTTTCTAGCATCGAATAGGTTTCACAGCGTCTCTATCAGACATAGTAAGTAAGTACTGCCACCCTAGTTTCTCGAGTGAGGAGTGAGGGTTAGAGATTGAGTCCTTTGTCCTCGTTAACGTGGTAACTTAATATTGCAGGTGGCTTTAACGTTGGCTTCTCTGAGTGCTGCGTTACATAATTATTTTGTATTTTAAGAATGACATATTAATTATATGGAACTATAGCACTACATAAGAGCAGAGTGGAATAAAGTTAAAGCACATATTAGGCATTAGCCATTAATTTTTTTTAGTCATTATTTTAAAAACCTCACCTTAATGCATGAGTATAATAATCTGTTACTATAAAGTAAGGAGACACTGAAGAGAAATATATTAGAACTTATACATCAAATCAGTTGCATAAAACAAGGCTTCCATAAAGTCTTTTTGGGGGGATTCAGTGGGCACCTTTGCTCTGAGATTCACCAACTCCCCCACACACTTTGGAGGTGGTGTTTCATTTTGGGACAGGTCTCACGGAGTCACTAACTTGCCCAGGCTGGGCTCGAACTTGTGACCCCCTTGCCTCAGCCCGCCATGGGTGCTGCCATTGCTGTAACCCTTTTAGAACCTCTCTTTAAAGCAAGCTTGGCAGCCACACAAGTGCAATTGCACTATTTTGATGATAACTCGTTGTTTATCAGGGATGGTGTTGGGAGGTTTGGCTCTTTGCGAAAATCAAACGTGTACTCACAATGGAGATTCGCTGCCACCACCACTACTCAACAGACTGTCCTGGGGTTTCTGTCTGGGGGTCCCTGGGGTACATCTTCAGCAAGATGTCCAGAATGATGAGCTAAACTGGCATTGTTGAATTAAGCAACGTGTTCAGTGAGGGAAAGAACCCTCATTTGGATATGTCTGTCTTGTTATAGTCATAATTGTCTGTCTGTCTCTAGAAATGCCATAGTATCCAAAAGCTACCACTTGTTAAGACTTTTTTTTATTCTGCTTGTTCTTCAAGTACCTTATGAGCTAGATGTCATCTTTGGCTTGCAGACCAGAAGCATGACACTGAGTTCTGTTGCTGGGGGAAGTGGAAAGATAATTTTGTCTTCCCGTTAGAGGAGGATCCAGTGAACATACTCTGCTGGGGTTGGAGTCTAACTAGCCATGGCAAACCCTTCAGAGCTTTCAGTGATATAAACAGTGCACTGCGGCACGCGTGCCATAGGTTCGCCATCACCGGTGTAACCCATCTTTTCTGTGTTGCTTAGTCAGTGTTTCTTTCTGCATCAAGGGTGCATTTATATCCTGGCTTTGTCGACTCAAAGGAAGCAGACGGGGTGTTGGAACAGCTGTGTCGGGATGTCCCCTGGAAACAGAGAATGGGCATCAGAGAGGGTAAGGAACCGCAGAGGCTGCGGTGGCCGCTCCCTGGCCTCCCTCTCCCAATGCCTTCTGTGACCGCAGCGGGTCTTAGCAGATGCAAATCCCAGGACTCAACCTTGTTTATGTTTATTTACTGCCTCTGCCACTGCGAGTGTTTGGTGTATATATTTTTACAGTTTTTTTTACTTACTGACTTTTGTTCTGATTTTACTTTCATCAGAAGAGTCCATTTTCCTTTAGTTTTCTTCTCTACCCTCCTGACCTTGAAAAGGTGAAACATTTACTAATTTGATTGGAACTTGCTCCAGCCTCTGCTGGCCAGTGGCAGTCCGGGAACCAGCAGTACCTGGTATTCCACAGGTGGCCACTGGGGGGCGTCTAGGCTCTAGCGTGGAATTTCCTTCCTGGAGTATTTTCTGTGGAGGAAGAGGCAGCCTGTGTTGGCTTCATTTTTATCACTCATCAGAATAGGAATCAGTTTTTTCAGGGAAGCCTCCCAAGAGTTTCCACAGTTGGAAACGTTCTTTGCTTGTTCTCTCATTCAAAATGATTATTAATTTTAAGCACGTTACAATTGAGTAGCTCCCTAATCCCTGGTTTTCTTACCTTGAAAATTGAGCTAATAAAAACCTCTCTTCGCTGTGTTAATTAAATGAGATAATACATGATAAGTGCTTAACGAAATCCCAAGTACATAATAAGCCTTCAATGCATGTTAGCTGCTTTTTTAAAATTAATTTATTTTTTCTTTTTTCGGTGCTGGGTCTTGAACCCAGGACCTTGTGTATGCTAAGGACCTGCTGTACCCCTGAGCTACATCCCCAGCCCTGCTTTTTATTATTATTGTTCCTCTCACTGTACTGGTTGTGGGAAAAATAGCAGATCTGTGGTTGACTCCCTGTCTAAATAAATTAAGAGATCCAAAACTTCTGACTAAAATCAGCTACACGCTACAATCAGTCAAACACTTCTTCCTGCATTTGGAATAATTTGTTTTGGGGGACTGGAAATCATACCCAGGACCTTGCGCTTGCCAGGCGGGTGCTGTGCTGCCGAGATACATCCCCGGCCTTCGTTTGGAGCCAGCAGGGCTTCTGCAGTGTTGGGCGCACGGGCAGACGGTTTACTTGTTCTTCATAGGGCTGTCAGTGTCACAGATTCCTGCCTGCGAGCGCCTCGGCTCCGTATTCTGCTTCCTGAGACTTTGCAGTGAAACAAGCCACCCACAGTCTCATCTCAGAACCTTTTTCTGGGCTGGTGCTGCCTTAGCCTCTGCCAGCCCTTAGACCCATGTCCTCTCCGAAGGCAGAGCTCTGGGGCAGAGCCGGCCTGTAGCCACTGGCCATGTTGCTAAGCCGTAACCCTGGACACGTGAGCGGCAGAGGTTTACGTGGGGTCATGTGGAAGATTCAGTGTCAGCACAGTGGGCAGCGTTGCGGAAGGGCCTAGGTAGAGGAGAGCACCCAGGAAATAGGCAGTAAAGGGAGGAGTCCCAGAGGGGCCTCGGAACAGCCCCCAGCTGCTAAGCCCACATTTCACTGTCACACCCAGAACCCAGTCTCCTTTGCAAAGCCCCGCCTTTGAGCACGGGAGGTTTTGTGGGGTGTTACCACGTGAACAGCAACACCCGTCTTTCCTCGTCCTTTGTGTTTCTCTTGGCTTCTTGACATCACAAGGCATAGAGCTGGGTCAGAGTAGGTGCATCTTAACGACCGCCACACTGTCTCAAGAGCCCTGTTTTTCTTTCTTAGATGTAACTTACCTGCAACCAAGACTTACAGCATGGTATGGAGAGCTTCCTTACACTTACTCAAGAGTCACTATGGAACCAAACCCTCACGTATGTTGAAATACTGTCCTTGGTGCGGTTTTATAGACGATAGAAGTGTAAAGTACCATAAACTAGGGCTGGGCTATAGCTCAGCGGTACAGTGCTGCCTGGCAACTGCAGGGTCCTGAGTTCAATTCCCAGAACCCATAAATAGAGTACTGTAAACTAACAGTAAGGCCTGGCAGGGGTAATTGATGGTTCCGAATTCAAAATAGTGCTCAGGGTTCAAGCACTGAGGTTTTGCGCTTGTGATCCTTTCTGTCTTGCACCATAGATGAACTCAGAGTGAACGAGAACGCTGGCACTGGAGTCCAGGGTTTTGGGAACGTGACTTTTTCCTGCTGCTTCTCTTTCCGAGCTCTTCTGTCCCTGACTCCTTGGTGCACAGCGTGGTACTCATTGATTTGCTGTGTGTCTCCATCCTTGTGGCTGGCCCGTGAGCACAAGGTCAGAGTGTCTTTTCCCATTTCTCAGGCTCTTTCCCTATTTGTCTCCCCACTCCCAGTCTGGTTTTCTTTTTTTCTTAACTTTGTGTTCATTTTATGGCTACATTTCTCAGACTTGAGCTTATTACCACTTGGTTTGTCTCTACTGCTGCTTTTGTTTTTAAAAATTTCCATGACAGTAGACAAGAATATTTTCATGTTCAAAGTAAGCTTGTCCAGAAAATGGAGCTGAGGTCCAAGAAATAGCTCCCTGTTTAGTTCCTGGAATCTTGCCTTTGGCAAATAATGCCATGCTTTATGGAAAGAGACTTTGAAGAAAATGGAGTTTTGCCCAGGGCATTTGGACCCACAGAAATGTGACATGGTTGAGAGCTGCTAGTCCTATGTAAGCAGAGGCTACCTCTTTCCTAAAGTGCACAGGATAAACATTGTGGGAGTGCATGGCCTTTCATGGAAGGACAAATGCGTGGTCTCTAGGGCTGCATTTACTGTGAGACCTGGGGAAGTGCGGAGACCTTTTGTATCTGAAGTTGATTTGTAAACAGAGAATTCCACTCGGCTGGTTCAGTGTAGGCTACTGCCGTGTTCTTGTCAGATTTAATTTACCTTCCTGTCCACAGTCCTGGCAGAGAGGTGGAGGATTAACTCGGCTGTGGAAAGAAGTTCTTTTCCATTCATTCTAGTTCATCTCTTAGAAAGATTTCTCTCCTTCAGGCACGGTTGACTTTGGGGTTGGCCGAATGCATTGTGGGGCTGTCCTGTGCATTGTGGGGTTCCACAGCTGGAAGCCAGCAGCACCTTTCCCAGTCAGAGCAGCCACACTTGACTGCGGACCCTGCCCCTTGGCTGCCGAGGACACAGCCACCCCTGGTTAAGAACCATCATTTAACAGGAAATGGAAGTCATTACCCAAACTGGGCTTGAACGTGTGATCCTTCTGCCTCAGCCTCTCAGAGTCTGGGATTCCAGGTGTATGTGACCCCACTTGGCAAGAATTTTTCATGATGTGCTATTTTTCAATAATGTAATACATACTTATTAATAAAAATTCAGAAACTACAGACAAACATAAAGCTATTAATATTTTGGGTAATTCTTTCACCTGATATTTTAGTTCTGATCATTTTTAGCTTAGGCAAAAATATGTAGAGTTTTTTTTTTTTCCTATAAAAATAAAACTGTGTTTTGCTTAACTGCTTATCATTACCATGCTTTAGTATTATTAAATTTCTTCTACAATATTATAATAGTTGTGTAGTATCCCATAATGTACATGTATCATAATATATTCAAGGAAGCCCCTTTTGTTGAGTATTAACTTTTTCAAACTAAAATTCTTTAATTTGGAGTTTGCTACTGATAGATTAATACATTTATATACTAATCTCAACAAAATTACACACCTGTAATCCTAGCTACACAGGAGGCAGAGGCAGGAGAAGCACAAGTTTGAGCCCACCCTGGATGACTTAGTGATTTAGTAAAATCCTGTCTCTCAATAAATAGAAAGGACTGGGGATGTAGGTCAGCGGGAAGGCCCTGGATTAAAAATAAAAACAGAAGCTACTGCCTTCATCTTAATATCCCATGGCCTGGAATCAGGTTCAAGATAATGTTTAAACCCCATTTCAGTTTTTGTTAAAATTGCATCTTATATGAACTCAGCACACAGTCTAAAGTGAACCTTTGACTGGCTGCGAGTCCCAGCAGCGTGACCTCCCCTTTCTCCTGTCGCAGGCCTCGGTGGTCCCTAGGACTCTAGAGCCCTCTCTGAGATTCTCGACTGTGGTGACTGATACTCTCATACTCTTCCTCAAATGTCTTTTAAGGGTAGAATATGTTCACTGAACAGAGATGACGCCGGATTTTAATTTAGACATCAGTTCTGGAGAATCTATATAGAGTATTGGTTAGAGAGTCTAAATTAATCCTCTAGATCATTATCCCTTTTTTTTTTTCTTTTCTCCGGTTCACTACCAAAAATAACTAAGAAAAAATACATAGCCACTTAGAATGCAGGCTGGATGTTATCAGGGAGCTCAGCCCCTGAGCAAGGCGGGGAAGTGCTAATTAGATTCTCAGTCACACAGTGGAGAAGCCACCTTCCTCCTTTACATTCTTGTCAAGTATGTAAACCAGGCTCTGCTTTTGAGCTCCAGAAGAAACATTTAAACCTGTAAAACAAATAGGAAAGGAAGCTCGCTGACATTAGTATTGGAGCTTCCATTTTGCAATTTGTCCTCTTGAACATAGGTTAGTTTAATAACATTTTTGTTTTATTAATCTAAGCTTTGTTCGTTGTTGTCCTTGTTTATTTTTAAAATCTGCTGGGAAGGTAGCTCTGATCCGCACCAGGAGGCTCAGCTTTGACCACAGCTAAAGGTGCGCTGTGGCCCTGACACCCTTACCTGACAAGGGCTGTGCTGGAAAATATTAAGCTTTCCTTTACTGCCCTTCCACTCAACACTTCGAAACCCAGAACACAGGCTGAGGTACCAGTTCTCAGTGCTGTCACCTCCGGGGCCCGGGGTACGTGTGCATGTGTGTCCCCGCAGTCAGTTTCCACAGCACTGAGTAGGTGACATTTCACTGCATTGAATTTGCACCGATGGTGCAGATGTGCAAGTGGATAAAACTGGCGGCGTTTTAGCATGAATCTAGCACTATCACAAGCCTGAGCTAGCAGTCATTGTGTTCTTCCCTACCATACACTTTGTTTCCAAAAATAAAAATGCTAATTTCACTTACGAATGTCCCTTGATAAAGCAGTAAACGTTATTAGTTTTATTAAGTCTTTCACATTGACTGCGTGTCTTCTTAATAGTTGGTTTAATGAAATTGAAAGTGTGCACAACGCACCTCTGCTGCAAACCAGAGTGTGGCTGTCGGGGCGGAAGGCTGGGCCAGCTCCTTTTTCACTGTTTCTCCTCGGCAGAACAGCTGGCAGGTCGGTGGGGAGATGTTTCCTCATAAACAGAGTTGTGTCACTGCAAGGGAAACGGTGGATTGGATTTGTTACTGATGATGAAATTGTTTTCAGAGACTTCAACAAAAACAACATATTTCTTTAACAGATTGAATGCAGTAGATACAAAAATCAGCTAAGTCAGACATTTAAAAGATTTATAAGACAGTGCTTTTTCCATCAACTTTCAATACTGCAATTAGTTGTTTTTCAGAAACGAACATTTATGTTAACATATAGTAGGTTTGTTACTGCATTTTAAATGAGTTAACCAATAGTTTATGTTTTTCAACCTTAATTTTTAATAGGGAAGCAGTCTGTAGCTTTAATCCCTATATACAGAAGTCCTTGATGGACCTCAGTAATTTTAGTTGTGTGAAGTTTGAAAATGATTGTCCTAACGTATTTGTGAAGCGCTTGAAAGAGTTCAGGTGAGACAGAATTCTAGCAGGGACAACACAAGCTACGCTGGCTGTAGCTCCCAGGTACACCAGAGGTCAGGGGTCACAGCTTCTGTGGACGGTGGCCAGGCGTTTATGAACACAGACGACTTCAGTTAATGGGGTGCTCAGCACATGGGCTGTGGAATCACAGTCTTCTGTAGTTCCCACCTTTTATATGTTAAGAGCATTCGTTGGAAAAGAATATTTTCCCCTGCAGGTTCTGTCTTTAGGAAGTTGGCCCCTCCAAGGATTAAGTGTCTTTTAACAAAAGCAGTTCTACAGGGGCTGGGGCCATAGGTCAGTGGTAGAGCACTTGCCCACTATGTGTGAGGCCCTGAGTTCTGTCCCCAGCACTCAGGAAAAAACCAGTTCACCACTGAAGTGCAGAACAGGAGTTGAATGGAGGGGCCCTAGCTGGAAAGCTCTTTCAGACTTAATTCTGCCCACAAACCACATGAGGCCACGTGTCAGCTTCCCGGCTCTGCTTATCACCTTCACAACTTCCCAGGGTGACTTCCTGCTGTACTGGTGTCTCCTCCACGCGAGGACACGTGTTTACAGGAAAAAGATGAGACGTGTAGACAGGCCCGGGTCCTCTTGGCATTGTGCTGCCAGAGTTAGTGTGACAGAGGTGAATGGCTTCAAAGCAGAAACGGTGGGAGGGAGGAACTCTTTCTGCCTTGTGTTCATTCATCCTAAGTGACCTGCTTATTCCGTGCCCCATTTATAACTTCACCCGCCCTGCCTTCTCCTTCTGCTTCCACGCGGCCACCGCTCTGTGTCTCCCGCCACGGCCTCTGCCCTGTCTCGGCCTGTTGACCACAGTGGCACCCCGTGCTGCACACGCTGAAGCGCCGCATCGAGGAGAACACCGGCCACACCTTTAACTCCTTACTCTGCAATCTGTACCGCAACGAGAAGGACAGCGTGGACTGGCACAGCGACGACGAGCCCGCGCTGGGGAGGTGGCCCGTCATCGCTTCCCTCAGCCTTGGCGCCACGCGTACTTTCGAAATGAGGAAGAAACCCCTGCCTGTGAGTATTCTCGTTGTCCTCGTGCTCTTCTTGCTTCCTGTTATTCTGTGAAGAAAGCAGAGCTCCTAAAAGCTCCAATATGCTGGCCCAGAGGACAGGGCTACGTGTGTTACCCATGAAACATTTTTAGCTGATTGCATCCCCCATTGTGAACTGTTTGGCTTCCAAAGTGCCCATTCATGCTCTGACTTAGCCAACAGGAATTGCCTGCCCTGTGCCACAGGCTGGGCCTCATTCCCATTGATGGAAAGGGCAGAGAGACACCTGTTGGGGACACCGAGGCTGCTGGTTCATCCCAGTGACTCCAGCTGTGGCTGATGCTTACAAAGGGGCCACACAAGGGTAGGGGACGTAGAGGGAGGGGAACAAACCTCAGGAAAGAGGCCTCCGCAGAAGCCTTCCACTGTAAGTGCTCTTCGTGGGAGCACAGCCCGCTTTCTGTGAGGGGACAACCCAGGGAGCCGTACCTTCTTAACCTTCTAAAGACAGATGGACCCAGGCCTCCTTCAAGAGGAAACTCCAGCGAGATCCGCAGAGGTGATGGTCCACCCAAGTTCAGGTGGAAACGCAGCCACTAAATTGTGTAATGATTGTGAGTTTTCATCCCAGCTCTTACACTAGTGTACACGACATGCGAGTTATCCTACGGCTGTTAATTTTTTTACTATGTTTCTCGGTTCTCTTTAGTTCTGGGGATCAAGCCCAAGATCTCCTGCATGCTAAGTACATACTCTCCCCCTAAACTACTCACCCAGCCCTAATTGTTTTAAAACTGTGGAGCCTTCAAATGAGGAAGATGGATAGTAGCAACTCCCAAGACAAGAGCAGATTATCCAGAAGATTATCTTATTTGCAGGGTTTGTGTCTTTCTTCCAACCAGGGCTCCTGATTAGTCAGCTTGTATCATTAAATCAGATTCGATCAGTGTGGAAGTCCAGCCGGCTGTTTTATGGAGATGACCTAATTCGGGCCACATCATCATTAGTCAGTGCTGGGTCTGTTTTTCATCAGCTACACTTCTCTGAGAATGCAACTAATGGACCCAGGCTGCTTCCCCGAGGCCCATTTGGTTTTCCAGGCATGGTATTTGAAGCATATTGAGTTATTTTGCGTATGTGCCATTAAGCACTGTTTGCCGGTATCATTTCCATTGATTAGGTTCCCTTCGCTTTTGTTTACACAGAAACCTCGGTCATTGTTGTTAGGGAATTGTCAGTTGCCAGTGTTTTATTAAGTTAACTTGCTCCCTGAGCACTGTAGCTTTCCTGGGGCCCTCGGCAGGCAGCCTGCTCTTGTGCTGAGGAGTCCGAGTTGGGAGTCAGACCACCCACCCTTTGCTGTGTTATTCTTAGTTATGGTGCTCTCCTACACCGGCACTCCTTCATTAAATCCCAAGTTCACACACGTGCGGAATTCACCTCGCCCTCGCTGAAGACTCCTGCTTCTTGCACTGCAGAGACATCACATATCTCGTTATTTATGCTCAGACCCCTTCTCAAGCCAGCGTGTGGAACACCTGCTCGCTGCCAGGTGTGGTTCTGGACCTGGGCTGCAGCTGTGCATGAAAGGCAGAAGCCCCTTTCTCCTCCAAGACCCCGGCTCCACACGCTGGTGCCTCGCGCTCCTCCCCGGTTCTCTTTGTAGGTTCTGATTGGTGCACACCTATATGATAAGTTGTTTTTGGTACAATCCTGCTGTTCCTTCGTCACCGTTATTTTGTTTGAGGCTAAGTATTTAAGCCTTGTTAGTTTCTTTACATATATTCACCACCACCGTTCTGAAAAAAAAAGGGAGGGGCCTATTTATAGCACAGAGTATGCTTTCTGGGTAGTTAGTTTTACTATACAAGCAGTTTTCAACTGCTAAACATGAACAGTGTTCAGTTTATGAAATACTGAACACTTCTTCTCTCTCTCCAGGAAGCAGAAGCTCTTGGTTTGCTCATATAAAAACCTGATTCTCGTGGTACACACCTGGATGATCATGTGTTTGAGCCCAGCCTGAGCAACTTAGTGAGCCACTGTCTCAAAATACAAAATAAAAAAGCTCTATGCAAAGGTTCTGGGTTCAATCCTCAGTATCTCAAAAACAAATAAAACAAAACAAAAACAGCCTGGTTCTTGGTCCTGTGTTTCAGTTATATTGTAGGTTAATGCAGCGACACAGAATATACAGCATTCTAGTTTTCGTTTTGTTTTGTTTTATTTTTACGTGTAGCATGCTTTCTGTAGGCATCTGTTTGGAACAAAATCTGTGTTCTAGCCTCTTCAGGCTGCTTTGATGGACACAGTGGAGGCACAGGCCCTGATACACTCAACCTGGTCAAGCCCCCAATGTCCACCAGCAGCAAGAAGTCTGCACTGTCACTAGGAAAGCCAATTTGATGAAAATCTAGGCTGATAAGTCGGGACATTTGTTTGAGGCCTTATAGTTGACTGAGGAAATGGGCTTGGGAAGAAATACAAATATGTCAGTACCACAAGCTCTTGGCTCGAAAGTTTTGGCTTCTGGCCTTGTAGCCATGATGAATTTGAAGCTTTTTTGTGTATCTTGTCAATTCTGACTTTTGTTAAAGATGAGGAAATTGAATGTTAACATATTTGCAGTAGTAATCACACATTCATGGATACAGCTTAGGCGTTCCATTGTTGGGTAAACAGGACAGAAGTTTAAACTTCTGAAAAGACCCCTTCAGGTTTCATTGCCAGATTCCAAAGGCCTGGGGTTCCACAAATGTAACTCAGCTAGCAGTGCAGAAGCCTTCTTTTGACAGCCATGGAAATATTTCTCAGGGTAGACTTCATCTTACTATAAACAGTGCTTTTTCTGGAGGGTGACAGGAGAGAGTGATGGCAAATCTTTGTCAACTTTTTCTAAACTCTGAGAATGTGACTCATGATTCATACAACCCAAAGTAAAAGTATAAATTAAAAAACATAAATTAGGTTAATCTTCTGTGTGGGATTTGTAGGAGACTGTGACTCTTAGATCTGTATTTCAGAGTGCCACTGTAGACTGCGATTTTCATATCTGCCAACAAAGACATTTGAGGTATGTTAAAGGTGGTGGGAGGGAACCCTTGAAGCTCTTAGCTTTGACCTATCAGATGAGTTGATAAGACGTGGGGGTCCCAGTTTCTCATCTGATACAGCCAGAGTCTTGAGATTTCCTGCCCTTCATGTAAATATACAGTTTAAAGGCAAAAGCATTTGTTTTGCTTACTTCCAAAGAGAAATAGTCTTAATTTTTTTTCCTTCAATTCAGAGTCCCCCCTCCCCTGCAGCAGTAGTCTGTGTGGCAGTCTGGGGCCTCGAGCAGATCCCTGTAGCCTCTGATCTTCTGAGAGCTGGCCCAGCCCTGCATGCATTTCTCACGGTCACCCCTGCACCGTGGGGGGGGGGGGAATCTTCGGTTCCTAAGTGGTGTTTCTCCGCTTCATGGTGTAGGCAGCCAGCATCCAGTGTACCACACCCTGGGATTAAGCATTATAAGATGTTGATTCTTGTTTTGTTGTTCCCGAGTTCAAGGCTGTCTTTTCTGGCTCATTCGTTTTGACTTTAGGGTAAACTGCCATCTCCCATAATGGTACCAAGGTCCTGCGCGTGGAGCATAACTGACCTGTTTGGTCTTGCTCGTCCATTCAGCCCATCTCTTTTGTGTAGTTCACATCAGAGGTTGAGTGAAGAGCATGATACCTATATCCTGGCCAGTGCCAGGCCATCCCGTCTGAAGCCCTAGGTGAAGCTTACCAAATACACCTTTTAGTTCATGCTATTGGGGTAGGTCAGGAAAGCTTTTCTACACTTCTTCTCCCTAACCTAGCTGTACTTTTCAGACCACACTGTGTCTCTGTTTGCAAAGATTACCCTGGTTCTTTTCCCAGATAGCTTTAATTCTCTACAGAAGAACAAACTGGGAAAGGAACTGCAAAAGCCATTTGGCAGGCTGCTATTTCTCTGTCGGTTACCATAGAAATGGTGATGGCTGAGTGGGGGGGTTATTAGATAATAGCAGGAAGTTTGTGATACACTGGAGGTTTAGATGCCAAAAGCCTGTTTTTCTACTAGATTACCCTGAACGAGCTCTTTTCTTTATCAGCTGAATTGCGCAAATGTAAGGGGCTTCTTTCCACCTCCAGGTGATGAGCTGAGGCAAGTTGGGTCTTTGTCTAGCCACTCTTCTCCGGTACCTCCTAAAGGATGCGACTGTTCATCTCGCCAGGAAGAGATGGTTGTAGAAGCATCTCCTTCTTTGCTCCTTTGGTGCCTCCTTTGCCGATTTATTTATCTTTTAAGCCCACTGCTGGGAAGAGTGGAGTGTCCAAAGCCAGCCTGATCATAAATATTAATATTTTTTCCAGGACTTTAGAAAACAGTGAGGATCTTGAGATCCAAAAACACCACAGTATGGAATGGCTTAACTCTGACAACTAGCTAAGCTTGAAGCACGCAGCATTTCACGGAGTAGTGACTGAGTCCTGCTGCTGTGATTCCGGTTGCCCGTCCTGCTCGGTAACCCATCTACTGATCCTGGCATCAGTTGCAAGAAGTCATAAGAAATATCTGAAAGAAATTGTTGATAACCATAGTTCTTTTGGAACATTCCCTGCTGAATTGAGAAAGTCGGGTCTTGATTCCTGTTTGTGCTCCCAACCTTGGTAGCAAGCCTTTATCATCTACTTCCTTTATACTTAGTCCTTTCAGGGCTGGAGATGTAGCTCAGAGGTAGAGTGTTTGCCTACAGTTACTCCATTTTTTAAAAATGGAAATCATAATTGGTTGGTAGTTCATAGGAATAATGAGAGTTTCTCAGTGAAAGTGGTTGCAGTAATGGTGAGATTTTAACTTACTGTAAATGGTAGATATCACAGTGACATCAGAAGTTGAAAAACGGAATGAAGAGTAATTAAACTGAAGTCTGGGTTTCCCTTTGCTGAGAGAGAAGAGTGGAGGTGGCTCAGGGCGGGTGGGGCAGCCTGTGGATCAGAAGTAGTGACTGGT